GAAGTTTTAGTCTCTAACAGACATTACAAGGGACACTCCATGTCCTTTGGAGCCATTTCTGTGTAATGGCTTAATTTCTCTGGGGTCTTCTTTTAGGTCATCTCTCGGGGTGGGGCGGGGGTGTTAAGTTAAAATGCAAAAAGCATTCATTGGGGGTATGCTCTACTCGGCTGGGTTTGGCTGTGCTTAGAATTACTTATACATGATTGCTATAATAAAACCTTAACCAACCAGTTTTACCCAGATTCGTAGAGCATGCCCTTTTCCCATTATGGCTAGACATTTTTTTTTAAGTTTGTTCGGAGTGTTTATTTTTATGAAGATTTTCCTTCTAGGTTTTATTTTATCTGGCTTCTTAATTCTACTCCTGTCAACTTATTGTAACTGATCTGTTAGCTTTCCAGCGTATTTGTCACCATCTTTTATTAGCCAGGATTGTACATTTATTCTCTTGAATTTCATACAATTTAACTTGGTATGTCATTCTTTGTCCAATGCCTAGCTAGCTGGTAACTCTTCGGGGAAGCGTCCCCGTGGCTGCCATTCGCCTTGTGAATTGTCTCTTTCATTGACAGCTACTGTGTGAAGACATTTACAGGACACAGAGAATGGGTACGGATGGTGCGGCCAAACCAGGACGGCACCCTGATAGCCAGCTGTTCCAATGACCAGACGGTGCGTGTGTGGGTGGCAGCAACGAAGGAGTGCAAGGCTGAGCTCCGAGAGCACGAACATGTGGTAGAATGCATTTCCTGGGCTCCAGAAAGCTCCTATTCGTCCATCTCTGAAGCAACAGGATCTGAGGTACTTACTGTATGGCTGGATTGCTGATAGCGCAGGATTTCTGTCACTCTTCTGATGGTCGGTCCAGGACAATTTTTGCACTTAAAACTCTGCCTTCTGGAATTCTGAAGCTTGAAACTCTTCACACACCAGTCTACAGATGTCTATTTTTAAACCAGTGATCATTACTGCTACCAACTGACCCTTAAATTGACCTGTGATATGGATTGGGGGATGGGGCGCGGGGCAAGATTCACTTGGAGAATAAAAGTGTTCCTTTAGATATATCAGAAGTGCTATTTTTATAAGAACGTTATGGTGCAAAATGAAATTGTGGGAGCGGTATAACTTATATTGTAGAAAAAGAGTCGTCATATTGAAAAACTTTCGTTGGTAAGTTTATGAAGAGATGCCATTCAGTAATGAAAACATTTTTTAAATGAATATTTCATATAGAGGCTTCTAATAGTCTTGCTAGGAAGCCCTAGTTGAATCTGGAGGTTTTCTATAACCTTGTGATTTTTAATTTGTGGTCTTTCTTCTCTCTGATTGATACCTTAATTTGGAATGGTATTTCTTTAAATTGCATTTTAATGAACGAAGGAAGAAAATCTGTCTTGACTGACTGGTAACTTTCCAGTTCTTTTTACTGCCCTCTAGTGGTGGTCATTTAACTATGTCATAAATTTGATTTTGGCTTGACTTTATATAAAACTGAATTAGAGGAGCTGATATTAAGGGCTCAAGAAGAAAGCAGGTGTTTTGAGAATGATGATTGCAACAAATGTGCTTGACACAATGGGTGGATGTATGGATTGTGATAAGAATTGTGCGAGCCCCAAATAAAATGATTTTTTTAAAGCTGAATTAAATGGTTTTAAAATGCTTACAAGAAGTCTTGAGCATTAAATTTGTCATCTGGTTATAGTATAGAAAACAAACCTTTAAAAAAATTTAAAAAAATAAGAAATCAAATCCTAGCCGAAGTAGAGATTTTCTAATTTTATATTCTCTGGATTCTTCCTTTGTAACCTAGATAAAACATTGAAAGCCTCGTTTGTCCATTTTGATTATAAAATATTTGTTTTTTTAATTGCCATTTTACAAAACTGGTCATTGCCATATAAAAGCTGTTTAAAGTCCTTACCTAAAATTCTTCATGGGGAAACTTAACTCTTATGTTTTCTGTAGACTAAAAAAAGTGGCAAGCCTGGGCCGTTTTTGCTGTCTGGCTCCAGAGACAAGACTATTAAGATGTGGGATGTCAGTACTGGCATGTGCCTTATGACCCTGGTAAGTTTGCAGTCTAACTGCTGCTGTTGCATCTGCGCAGTGTTTATCTTTCTGGGTTAGGTGTATTACATAATACGAACCCTTCCAGGCTTTAGAAAGACTTGTTTAGAAAAATGCTTTTTTTCTAATGCTTTGTAATCGTATAATGATAGGAAATTTGTTTCTGTAGACCAGTGGTTCTCAACTTTCAATGCTGGGACCCTTTAATACAGTTCCTTATGTTGTGATGACCCCCAGCCATAAAGTTATTTTCGTTGCTACTTCATAACTGTAATTTTGCTACTGTTATGAATCAGGCGACCCCTGTGAAAGGGTCATTCAACCCCCAAATGGGTCGAAACCCACAAGTTGAGAACCGCTGCTATAGACTGGGTGGAGATCCTAGGTTACTATATCTTGAAAATTTGCATAATAGCAATTAGGAAGAGGCATATATATTTTACTGTGTTTAATTTTAGTATGAATCCTTTTAATTATCACCAATCTGTTCACATAATCCAGAGCTGACTGGTTGGTTTAGGCATTTTATGTGGAAATGTTTATTTCATTTTTTAGAGCCCCTTGATATGGAAGTATAATTTGGGAACCATGCTTGTTTAGAGATTCTTTGGGTGACTAGCCATATCTGAAAGTGATTGTCTCATTGTAGGGTATTTCTGATGAGTGTTCTCAGAAATTTTTGTTACAAAGTTAAACTAGAGCAGGTTTCCGAGCTTTTCGTGTACATTATATTGCTGTGGTACAGGGTGATCTCCACTTGACATTGGAAGGCGTGCTGTCCTCCTCTGTTACCCGAGTCAGCGCTAATGTGCCCGGGGTCTTCCTTGCCCTCTCTTCGCTTCATTCTGGCATGGCCACAAGAAATGCCACTTGAGGTGACCTTGAATAAGGGCAGCACCAAAGCGAGAGATTTTGTAGCCTCGGTTGTCTTTTATTATTACCATTAGTTGAAATAACTTTGGGGGTACTCCATACAGAGTAAACTATTTCCATTATAGAAAACATTCGTTTTAATTTGCTTACATTTAAGTAGTCATGTAGCTAATGACAAACCTCTTAAACTACAGTTTTAAATCTTTTGCCTCTGCCTAAATTAACATTTCGAGATAGAGCAGGTTTTGTGTTTTTTAATGAAATGCTACCATCCTGTGTAGCAGACTAGTGTACAGTGGATACGGCCTTTCCCGGGTCGTCAGACCTCTGTCTGCAGTGCTGGCAGAGTGTGACTGAACAACTAACTAGATGCACGTTCTTTCCGAGTGTGAACGACAAGGGAGGGAATGGCTGGGGCGGCAGAGGTAATGTAGATACATAACAATACAATGTTATGGTATTGTGAATGGAACCGTACATTTTCTTTAAAAAACAATGGATTTTATTTTAAAACAACGCCATTTTACACTATGAACTTACCAATGAAACTGATAATGATATATTTATAGAGTTATAACATTTAACCGTATTCAACATTTGAGGTACTGAGTTTGACATATTATAGTGGGTCACTTGCTTCATTCCGTCTCACAGTCTCCACTGCATTGTTTGTCTTTACATTTGATGTTCCTTTTCTTTTTTTTTTTTAACGAATGGGGAGGGAGGGATGGGTTGTTCAGAAGCCTTCTGTTGCTATTGGGAACGGAGGCCGATGTTTACTTACTAAGAATTTACTACTGCATTTATATTTATTACTGAAGTAATGCTTTCATGAATGAAACAGCCTTACTAGGATTAGTACTCATTTACGTTCATTTCAAATTGATGTGTGTATGTAGAGAGAGGTATATACCATGTAGAGAATTCCAAGGTTAGAAGGCATAGAAGAAAATGAATTTGAATATGCATTGCTCTCGTTAAATGACTAAATGTCAGCTTGGATGGTAGGAAGTAAATGTAAACGTTTTCTATAATTTTCACTGAGAAAATTGAAATGCATTAAAATAACACATCCCATAAATCTAGTGTTAAAATCTCCCTCTTTCCCCAGATTTTGTTTAGAAAAACTATGTCACCTAGGGTCCCAGTTGTTAAGATTGTGCCTGAGTATATGTGTGCTTGGGTGCATTGTGCTGAACCATAAGAGTTGTTGATAGGCACCACGGTACTTTGCCCCCAATAGTTAGCATGTAACTCCCAAAGACAGTGTAACCACCATACAGCGATCATACTTGAGAATCTGAACACTGACACAGTCCATACTCAGATTTTTGGTAGTTATCCCAGTAATAATATCCCTTTTATTTTCAGGTGGGCCATGATAACTGGGTACGTGGAGTTCTGTTCCATTCTGGGGGAAAGTTCATTTTGAGTTGTGCTGATGACAAGACCTTACGTGTATGGGATTACAAGAACAAACGGTGCATGAAGACCCTCAATGCGCACGAACACTTTGTCACCTCCTTGGGTATGTATGCCGCACGAAGTTTCTGAGTGATTAGCTTGTGGAGGGCGAGGCATAGAAAAATGTTGACGTACCCACGTGGACTTTTCCAGGTGAGAAATGACCATGTACTTTCACGGCCCATTCCAGACTCCTCCCATATACTTTAAATTCTCTTCCCTTGACTGTGTCTCCCATCATCAGTCTTATAATAACATTTATCTTCTCCATTGTTCAGCATTGTAGAAACTTGAATTAGCCTGTGAAAACCACAGCTCTGCTTGTTTGTAAGCTTCTAAAAGGAAAGCGCTTGCTCAGCCTGTTGCTTTCTGGCAGCTAATATACTACCTTGTACTAGCAACTAAGGAGTTGTATTTATGTTGAATAAGCTGCCTGTCATCTTCCCTTAAATCTTAAGTTTAAGATTGTGACGCCAGCAAAATATAATTTAAAAGCCCTTGGCTGTTGACTGAGAGGATCGGGGTTGAGAATCAGCCAGCCGCTCGATGAGAGAGCTACCTGGTGGTGTGCTCCTGCAAAGCTCACAGCCTTGGGAATCCCATCGGGGCTCTGTCTGTCCCACAGGGGACTGCCAGCTCCTTGGCACACAACAATGTGGAGGATCTAAAGTAGTAAACTAAGGATGATACCTTTCAGGATTGTTAACCAGGTTCAAATGTGAATATGAGACATTAATGCTAAGTGTTCAGTAAGCATGGATGTGTTGTGTGCCTTTGCAGTGAAGGGTTACTGTTGGGTTTAGTGACTTCTCTAACTCAGTTGATAGGGTTTTCTCCCCCTTCACTTGATACAGTTGAATAACACCTTCCAGGTGTGTGCATGTGTGCATGTGCAGAGAACAAGAATTGGATTCTGTGGCATTTGGGCTTGCTGGTTTTTGTGACTCAATACAAACTGCCTTTGACCCAATTTGATTTTAAAATAAGCCTTTTCTTTTTCTTTCAGATTTCCATAAGACGGCACCATATGTAGTCACTGGCAGTGTAGATCAAACAGTAAAGGTGTGGGAGTGCCGTTGATTGGTTCTCATTTGGCCCCTCCTCCCTTTTTTCCTCTGGATGCACTCTGATGATACCATGGTTACCCCATTGAGCTCTGTTTAAATAAATATTGTCCTTTCATGTAAATTATTCTGGATGTAGATTGAGCTTATTAAATGTTACACACAAAGTATTCATGCATGGTGAATCCAAATTGTATACTGTAAATTTACATGCGTTGTCTAGAGTACCATAGAGTTAAAAACCTGGGCTGGCATCGGTCACACCAGGCCTACAAAGGCAGATGTCGAATAAATTGAACGAGGGCACTAAGTAGTTGACAATGTCATTTTATGTTGAATTATAACTCCTGTTTTTCTTTCTCCTGTCTGTTGGTGCCTGACTCGATGGCCTCGTTTGAGGAAAAGTGGGGTGGTGATTGGGGCTTTTTCTGAGATTGTATCTATGTAACATCACTTAAGTGTGCTTAATAAATTTTCTTTAAGGGTGTTAGATATTATGTCGACAATTCAAGATCTTCTCTAAACCATCTATGTAACTAATGGGGATTACACATTGGAAATTTTGTAATGCCTCATTTGCCAAATCAATAGGTTGTTTTGGCAGCCTAGCAAATAACACCTAGTGGTGTATTTATGTAAGAAAATGACTGTATATCGCAAATAAGAAAAATCTCAGCATCTGTTATCAAGTCATTTCATTTGGGTCATAATGGCTTATAAACAGGTTTAAAAAAAGAGAAAGAAAAAACACGGACTCCACACGTTTCTTCTCCACACTAGACATACTTCCAGTTCTGCTCTCCATACAGTTCAACTGCCCAGAGATGTGACTTCCAAGTAGAACCTGATCTCCCCACTTTGTGTGTCATGGTACAAATCACTATTCGTTTTTGATGTTTTTAGGGATGTGCAATGTGCATTAAATGATGACAAAAAATTGAGAAGGCTGTGTTGGCCTTTGTTTAGGGGGTGGAAGAAGTACAGCAGTTGGTTTTTCAACGTGAATCCGAAACGAGTTTTTGAATTGTGTTTCACGTACAAGCTTGAAAAAATTACAGGGTTTAATGGAACGTGCATAGAGATGTACTGTTTTCACCTTTCACTGACATATTGATAAGTCTGTATCTGTTTTTCACACACACACCACCATCCTGTGTGTGGGTCCTCAGTTCTCTAAGAAGTGCTAAAACAAAGAATGGATCCTGCCATGGAATAGAATACCATGCTTTGGGACAAACCCTTGGCCCTAATGCTTCTGAAAAACAATTGTGGGAATTGTTCCCACTTACAGGAAAATCACTTGAGTTATTTTTTTCTCCCTGATTGGCCATTCAGCATTTTTTACACATCCCTGCTATAGTGTATATTTTCATCCAAGGTCACTACAAGTAAGCTTGTTGAAGAGAAGGTTTATCCATAACTTTTGGAATAGTACTCCATTGCAGATTATTAATAAAGAAGTCCATTGCTTAGCTAACCAAGTTTTTTTTTTAATTTCAAGAAAGTTACTTGAAAAGTTAACAATGAAATAACTATAACAACCTAACAGTGATACATTTATTCTAAATTGCATTATTTGTATAAGTGGTTTTTAAAATGTCCTGTTGAGTATTTAATGAAAACGTGGTTCCTAAAAAGACAAAGGGTGAGGGTCGACGTCCTGTTATCTATCTATCTCTCTCTCTCTCTCACATACACACACACACACAAATAGGCCTCCCATTTACTAGAAGCAGCGATTGGTCTAGCCTGTGTTTCTTTGTTTCCGTGTTTGTTTGTTATTTCAATAATTCCTGAGAGACCTCTCTGGAAGAGACAGTGTTTTGAGAACTAATGGCTCTCTGTAAGGACAATACATTACAGTCTAGTTCCATAAACACACACAGCAGAGTAACTTCCAATGTTGTGTCATAGCCTTGCTGACATTAGGGCTGCTAGCTGTTCTGACTGAATTTTTTACAAAAAGCTATGGAAAATATCTTTGTTCTCGTTTGCTGCTATTTCCTGTCCTGTTTTGAGAACTATAAAGACATAGAAATGGTGCATCTTCACATTTGCTTGTACATGTATAAATGTATTTTAGTTCATTTTTAGCATGTAGCAACACATTTTTGAAGGGTAAGCCACAACATCTAGAAATCACTCATAAAGATGAATAAAGGAAAAAAAGGTACCGATTTAGGAAGAAACAAAGCTGCTTGTCTGCTGAGTTTCGTCCCCATGCAGCCTACAGCGACTTTTGTTGACAGAGGAGGAGAAACTATAGTACTCTGTAAGCAAAGTTATCCTCACAGCCTGCTGCTTACTTAATTACCAGACATCCTCCATTCATAAGCAGCAGCAAACATTGAATCTCAGGGATGGTCCGCAACTGGATCCAGATGTAAAGAGCCCTGTTTGAATAATGAGGGAGGGTGGGGGAGAGCGATCCATCCACAACCCGGAATCGATTTGCAAAGGTTTCTTGTACTGTTGTTTGACACTGCCCTGTTGATGCCCTTTTCTTCCTGTTTTCTCTGTCTGCTGTCTAACCCTGTGCCTTGCCTGGGATAAGTACAATGATGAGGTTACTGGTTTGGATTGTAAGTAGAGGAACTTATTAATTGGTTTAGAGGTTCACTGCTGCTTTGTCACTTTCACAACCAAATTGGCCATCTAGTTAAAAGGCTGGTAGAACTTCCTCCTCGGATGATGGACTTTCGTGTGGGTGGAGGTGAGGACCGACATTCCAGTACTGCCCTGCTCTGCCGTGCCCAGGAAGCCCTCGCTGCACTCCGGAAAGTGCAAGCCATGCAAGCCGTGGCTGAGCCGTCGCGTGAACAGTTGTCTCTCACACAGCTTGCACTTTAGGAGACTAAGACCATCGTGTTGTGTCTATATGTGTGGTGTGACCAATGGTGTGCCCAGAGCACTCCTCGCAAAATCACTAGTGTTAGCAAGTCGTCCGGGCTGTGAAGCGCTCACTGTAGTCTTTCAGAAGCTTTGCTCTAAACTCACCACGCCCAGCCCCCCTGCCAGTGCCCTGCTCCCCTCCTCGCTTTGTTTGGGGTCTGCGTGAACTGCCAGGTGGTATCACTCAAGAAATAGTTTTTGTGGGTTGTTTTTCTTCCCTTACTTGAAGGGGGGGGGGGGGGAGGCGGAGAAACAATTTCAAAGTAAAGGATATTTTGTTGACAGTGGTGGCTTGATAATCCTTAAGTGACTCAAGTTTTTTAAAAGAAAAAAAATTGAAGGAAAAGGCACTTAAAATGGTTACATTTCCTGTCACCCTGTATAAGTCCAATGTGTTAATCTAGATGATGCAAAGCTCTGGTAGAGAAGCGATTTAGACAAAAGTGGGAAAGACATGGGTGGATTTCCTTCCAGCAGGGTCGGGGGAGGGCAAGGGGGGTTGACTGGACTTGAACTGGCCTATTCTCTTTCCACTCTATCATGTAAGTAGCTGCTTTCTTGACCTGCCTACCCTTCAGGCATCCCTAAAGCCCACTCGGGAGACGTTAGCAACAAACCTCAACTCTTCGGAGCTCGCACTTGGTCTGACACAGACGTGAAGGCAAGCGCTGAGACCATAAAATAAACATTGGAGAGGTGGTCATTGGAGAAAACAGTTCCCCAGATTGTAAGAGTTACCTGAAGATATCAACACAATTTAAAAAAAAATCAGTAAAGGAATGTATATAATACTGCTCTTGTGTTTTACAGTAAGATTTGTTGCTCTCAGACTGTGTAAAACAAAATTTATTCATGTTTTCTGCATATTAAAAATCTTATTGTACCAATTGGTAAACTATTAAATGCTATAAAACTAGAAGTGTTTTGTGTGTTTGTGCAGATTTGAAACTGTTCGAGGTTGTGGTCTGAGAAATGGGACTGTTCAATGGCTGTGAGGGGTTGGGAGGGCCTGGGTGGTGCCAGCAATGCCCTTGCTGCTATCCTTAAGAAGGGCTCAAAAGCAGTTGTGGGTTGGCACAGCAGGCTGAGGGTGGACAGTAGTAGCTAACGACTGTTCAAAGCCACCATCACCAGCTACTCTGACCATCTATAGCTGAAGCCAAAGAGCTCAAACCAGGAATGGCTCATAGTGGCCACCCTCTGGAAGCCCGGGCTTCTCTTGGAACCAAGGGTTCTCTCCACCCCCTTGGTTAGTTATATGAAATGAGTGATCCTTTGTCAGGCCTTGTATTCATGAAGATCCTTAATATTTTCCACTGGCTGAGATAAACCAAAGAAAAAATTATCTCCATGAAGCTCTATGCTTTGCACATATTACTGTCCTCACATGTATCCCCAGACTACTGCCAACACGCCGCGTGCTGCTCAGATTGGGGTACTCATGCGAGCTCGAGCTCGTAGCCCAGTGATTTTCTGTTTCCTCCTGGGAGAAGCGGCTCTTAAGGTGGAAGCTAGGGCCCAGAGCACTGGTGGCGGAAGGACTAAGAGGTTCTTGTCTGACCTCCTTGGCATTCCTTACAGGGTCCTCTTTCACCAGGCAGCTGAGCCCTAGTCATGGGGCCAACGACTTCCCTAATGTGCCTTTTCCCCCACTGTCAGCTCCATTGTGTGCAGGCCCCCGTCGGGTGGGGCACCTTCAGGAGGCAGGCTAGGAATGGATGTCACCATCCTCCCCTACCTAGAAGGGTTCCTCATGCAGTGACATCACAGTAATCCTACCCTGAATGGGCTGCAGCTGTTGTTTCTTTTTCCCCCCCATTAGTGATTAACCTGCTTAAAACCAAATGCTGCCATTGGGTCAATTCTAACCAATAGCAACAGGGTACAACTGCCCATTGGAGCGCCTGAGACTTTCAAGTCTGTGGGCGTGCTCTTCCTCACCTTGCTCCCATGGGTCAGCTGGTGCGTTCGAACTGCAAACCTCCTGGCTAGCAGCTCAGTGCATAGCCCACTAGGCCACCTTGGCTCCTCCGACTAGCTTAAAGGTTGTATGTTACTTCCGTCGGAGGTTTCCGGTTTTGCAGCTGTCCCAGTTAGTTAGGTTTGCCTTCTCTGGTTTAGAGCAGTGGTTCTCAACCTGTGGGTAGAGACCCCTTTGGGAAATCGAACGACCCTTTCACATGGGGTCTCCGGATTCATAATAGTAGCAAAATGAGTTAAGAAATAGCGAAAATGTTGTGGGGGTGTCATCACAACATGGACTGTATTAATGGGCTTGTGGCATTAGGAAGGTTGAGAACCACTGGTTTAGAAACGAGACACATCAGGAACCCTTCTCAGGGCAGCGCTCCCCCACCCCCAGGTGACAATACCTGGAAGGCCCTTATAGGATGTTCCATGAATCAGTTTAACCTTTCCCTCAATACTCAAATTCAACAGTGAGTTCTGGAGGGTGGGGAGAGGTGGCAGGCAACACACCCATAGGTGTTTTAATTTGGTTGTAATTTTTTTTGAAAAGCAAGGTTTTGCTCTGTCTTGTTTTTGTGCATGTTGTCTCCGCAGGTCTGTCTGGATAGGACAGGCTGGATGAACAATCTGGAGGAGAAAACAA